CACCTCGGTGTTGAGTCATGCCGGCCACAGGGCCACGTAAACGTCTTTGGACAGCGCTGGCTCTTCGGCTTGGAAACAGAGATGAGCACCACCCCCTAGAGTCAGATTCGACTGGCTTTTGAGCAAGGGAAATCCTTTACCTTTTAAATATGCTTTGCTGCTTCCTTCTGCTTCCCAGGCACAGTATTCTCATCATGTGATACAAGAAATCCTGGGGCACCTTGATTTCCGCAAGCGAGACTCCCCCCGTGTTCGAGCGGGCATCATCCAGGTTCTTTTGGAGACCATCGCGATTGCTGCTAAAGGATCTATCGGTGAGCGCAGTTGAATGCATGGCCACTTAAAACTTGGGAGTTTTGGGTAAAGGCTCATAGGCCATGGAAATGAGCAGCGAGAGAATGGAGCGTCTCCCTCCCCCACATATTTCTTCTGCCTCAGAAGGTCGGATCAGAACCAGTGGATTGAAAGTCATAACAAAGGGTTTTTTGGCTAAACAAAGGGGTTTTTGGCTAAACATTAGGAAGCGTTTCCTGACAGAGAGGTTCTTCAGTGGAACAGGCTTCCTTGGGAGGTGGTGGTGGAGGAGCCAGTTTGGTGTCGTGGTTAAGTGCGCGGACTCTAATCTGGGAGAGCTGGGTTTGATTCCCCATTTCTCCACTCGCAGCTGCTGGATGACCTTGGGCAAGCCGTAGTTCTGATAAGAGCTGTCCTTGAAAGAGCAGTTCTCGAGAGAGCTCTCTCAGCCCCACCTGCCTCACAGGGTGTCTCTTGTGGGGAGGGGAAGGGAAAGGAGTTTGTAAACTGCTCTGAGATTCTGAGTGAAGGGCGGGGTAGGAATCTAATCTCCTCCTCCTCCTCTTTTTTGAAGGTTTTTAAGCAGAGGCTAGATGGCCATCTGACGGCAATGCTGATTCTGTGACTCACTGTGAATTTAGGCAGACTGTGAAAATGGGTATTTATTTATTATATTTTTATCCTGCCCTCCCCGCTTTCAGCAGGCTCAGGGTGGCTAACAACATAAATATCAATAAATACATTAAAACTCCAATATGTACGCTAAAACTAACATTCCATTAAAATTACAATAGAAACTATACATACACTGCACATAGCTATAATACAGGCGACATCCATATCCACTCATCATTTGAATGGCCACCTCCAGGCTCCTGCCAAGCTGTTCGACATCCAGCTGTCGGTGGTGTTGGTGTTAAAACCAGGCTGGTAGTGCTGTCCATGTTAAGGCCAGGGCCATACAATCGAGGCGGCCGGAGGCGGCGCCCTCATCGAAAGCCTGGCAGAAGAGCTCCGTTTTACAGGCCCTGCAGAACTGTAAAAGGTCCCGCAGGGCCCTGATGTCATCCGGGAAGCTCATTCCACCAGATAGGAGCCGCCACGGAAAAGGCCCTGGCCCTCGTTGTAGCCAACCTGGCCTCTTTCAGGCCCGGAAGGGCCAGGCGATTTTGGGATCCAGATCTTAATGCTCTCTGGGGAACAATTGGAGAAAGGCGGTCCCTCAGGCAAGTAGGTCCCCGGCCATATAGGGCTTTAAAGTTAAGAACCAGCACCTTGAACCATATCCGGTATGCTATAGGCAGCCAGTGCAGAGCTTTTAGGGTGGGCTGGATGTGTTCCCACACAGGAAGACACAGCAACAGCCTCGCCGCTGCATTCTGCACCAGCTGCAGCTTCCGGATTTGGGACAAGGGCAGCCCCATGTAGAGAGCATTGCTGTAATCCAGTCTCGAGGTGACCCTTGCGTAGGGTCAGGCAGGAATTTTCCGGGCCATATTAGCCCAAAGATCCTGGAGGTTTTTTGCCTTTCTCTGGGCAATACAGCAGGGGTCACAGGCAATGTTCCCTGTAAGCTGTGGAGTCTTGTGGGCAACAATTCGCCTTTGGAAGCTCCTGGCCTTAAAGTTGTGAGTGAGCGGTTTGGCTGCTGCATAAATTAGTGTGCTCTGGAGCCCTCCTTCCTGAGCTAAGACAAAAATGTGTGAGCCGGAGGCTAAAAACCTGTGAGCTAGCTCACACTAACTCAGCTCAGAGGGAACACTGGGTACAGGGAGAAGGGGGAGGTGGCCGTGAATTTCTGCATCGTGCAGGAGGTTGGACTAGATAAACCTGGAGATCCGTTCTTTCTAGGTTTCCTCTCTGCATAAAATACCTGCTAGCCAGATCATCTTCTCAGTGTTTCCCTTCTGTACTAATGGGCTTTGCGGTAAAGGTCGTTGATCCTTTTCGGTGTGTCATGACAGGAAGTAGTCGCAGTGAGCAGAGGTGTCAGCCGGCCACGAGTAGCCACGAGAGAGCTTCCACACTCGCAGGCCAGGGATTCTTGAGGAAGTTATCACCGCATGCCGCGGGAGGAGCACTAATTAGTGATAATGGAGCCGGGGATAAAAGACAGGATCTGCAGGCTCCTCCGGCCCAGAGTGGAGAAGCTGTGGCAGCCCGGCGGAAAGTCAGGCTGGCTCAGGGGGTTGTGGAAACCGCAGAAAAGGCAGAGGCGGGGCTTAGCCCCGGGGGGCACGACGGGGATCCCGACCCGCGAGGGCCTTGCTGTGCCCGGAGGAGAGAGGCAGAGCGAACCTCGTGGAATAAATGGAGCCCCAGGAAGAGGGCGTTTGTGACGGAGCATGCTGCCAAGCCGCGAAGAGGGAAGGTCCGGGCACAGGATACCCAGATGGTAAGGAGGGCGGCCAGCCAATGTTCCCTCTAAGCTGTGGAGTCTTGTGAGCAAAAATTCTACTCTGTGAGCTACTGGCATTAAATTTGTGAGCGAGCGATTTGGCTGCTGCATCGATTAGTTTGTTCTGGAGCCCCATCCCTTCCTGAGCGAAGACAAACAATGTGTGAGCGGGAGGCTAAAAAACTGTGAGCTGGCTCACACTAGCTCAGCTTAGAGGGAACAGTGGCACTGCCCACGTCCCCCTGGGCAGAAGTGGCAGGTGGGAAAGCAGCATGCCGCCCACAAGGCAAACGAGGCAGGCCAGGCAGGTCGTTTTTGTTTTTTCCTTGGTGGTGGGGAAAGTGCCGTCATGATGCCCCTCCTGACTTCTGCCAACCCTTCATGGGGCTTTCAAGGCCAGAGACGTTCAGAGGTGGCTTTGCCGTCGCCTGACCCTGCGTGGCGACCCTGGACTTCCTTGGTGGCCTCCCACCCAAGCACTAACCAGGCCTGACCCCGCTTAGCTTCCGAGATCCGACAGGACCGGGCTCGCCCGGGCCCGTCCAGTTCAAGGCTTTTTTTCCTTAGTAAAGGTAAAGGTTTCCCTTGCTCGAAAGCCAGTCGAATCCGACTCTAGGGTTGCGGTGCTCATCTCTGTTTCAAAGCCGAAGAGCCAGCGCTGTCCGAAGACTTCTCCGTGGTCATGTGGCCGGCATGACTAAACACCAAGGCGCACGGAACGCTGTTCCCTTCCCACCAAAGTGGTCCCTATTTATCTACTTGCAATTTCTTGCTTTGGAACTGCTAGGTTGGCAGGAGCTGGAACCAGAGACGGGAGCTCACTCCATCATGCGGCACACTCGGGTCTCGAACCGCTGAACTACCGACCTTCCACAGCCTGCAGTTCAGCGTCTCAACCACTTGAGCCACCGCAGCTCCTTTTATTTTTCTTACATGTCTTCTAATGTTGTGTTTCATGAAAGTCTAAACGGTAGAAATCCTCTTCAGGTTTTCCTCTTAGCCAGTGTGGTTGTGAACTGGGCGTTCTAAAATCGTTATGTCTTATATCTGGCACGCCAACCCCCCCCCCCTTCTTGCCCCTGACTCTGGGGAGGGAGAGGCAGCTCCGTAGCCAGGATTCTTTCATTGGGGGGGGTGCTAATAAATTAATTAATGCACGGGATGCGTGTCTCCCCATCTCCGTCCCCCCCCCTGCCCAGTGCCACTCACACCGCAGCAGCGCCAGCAGAGCCGCCATGGCCCATCTGTCCACCCAGCACAAGAGACTGCACTGCAGGGCCCCAACCGGGAAGCCAGCCCCGCCCCGCCCCTTTTGGGGCACATGAGGACAACATGACTCCAGGCGTCTGCCTCCACGCCTCCTTCCTCCCTCTGCCGAGCCTCCGCTTCCCTCCCGGCTGGGGGTGGGGGTGTCGAAGTTTCAACAGGGGGTGCCACTCACAGCGCTGCCCGGAGGTGTGTGTGTGTGTGGGCTCTTCACAGTGCAGAAAGCCTGAGCGGCTGTCACGTGCGTTCGCCCTTTGGGTGCTACTTTATGCGTCTGGCCGCTCTGCCCTGGAGGGCCTCGAAGGGTTAATATTCTGACAGCATCCAGCTACCTCGGGGTGGGGGAGGGATTGCGTCTCTGCGGGACCCCTCTCCCTTCTCCCACCTTTAAACAACAACTCCAGACTCAGCCCAGGTATCACATCAAGCCATGATTAAGGAAACGCGTGACTTCAGCGTGATGCCTGACTGGACAAGTCCTGGTTGGCAATTGGCTGGCAAAGCAGAAGAATGGGAAGCGGTTTGGCCCCATTGATTTATTAAAGAAACCGCACCAAAGCCATGGAACCGCCGGTTAGTAATAGGATAACGAGCCTCTTATTAGACTAATCATCCCTATAAAGATTTGTGGCGTCTGCTTGATAGAAAGTGGAATCGTTGAACCTCTAAAGCTGCTTTGTGCTCCGTCGAGTCGCTGGTTCATCGAGCTGAGTGTTGCCTTTTCTCACTGGGGTTGGGGGTGGGTGGGCTTTGTGAGGTCTTGGGCAGAGGAGGGGCCACTGCAGCCCCCCCCCGGTGGTGTCTGCATGCAAAGCAGATGCTCTGCCACTGAGCCACAGCCCCTCCCTATAGAATTAATATATGTTAATGGTAGACTAGACACATGATCTCAGTAACAGAAATGTAAAGATCACATTGTTATTGGAAAGCAGACAGCAATTAAATGAATGGCAATGCTCCCTCTAAGCCGTGGAGTCTTTGTGAGCAAAAATTCTACTTTGTGAGCTGCCGGCATTGAAGTCGTGAGCGAGCGATCTGGCTGCTGCAGAAATTAGTTCGCTCTGGAGCCATCCCTTCCTGAGCCAAGACAAAAATATGTGAGCCAGAGGCTAAAAAACTGTGAGCTTGCTCACACTAACTCAGGTTAGAGGGAACACTGATGAGTGGTAGAAGTTCCGAGGAGAAAGAGGTGCGGTCTGTCCCTCTCATAAGGCCTTGAGCGCATAGTCCACAGAGGAGTCCTGATCCAGCCATGCAGCGTTTCAAAGGGAGGTTCCAGCATCTTCAAAGGGAGAGCCAGTTTGGTGTAATCGTCAGGAGTGCAGACTCTAATCCGGGAGAACCGGATTTGATTCCCCATTCCTCCATTTGCAACTGCTGGTGTGACCTTGTGTCAGTCACAAGTTCTCGCGGAGCTGTTCTCTCAGGAGCAGTTCTCAAGAGAGCTCTCCCAGCCCCGCCTACCTCACAGGGTGTCTGTTGTGGGGAGGGGGAGGGAAAGGAGATTGTAAGCCCCTCTGAGACTCCAAGTGGAGGGTGGGGTATAAATCCAGTTTCCTCTTCTTCGTACTGTGGCCAGGCTCTCTCACAGCTTGGAAGCACAGACAGTGTGGAGAGGGGGCAGGCGGCGAGAGGGGTTTTGATCCTGAGCTGTTCTTCCCAGTTGCCTCCATTGGCCCCGGAGCCAGGATCAAGCCAGCCTGCAGTCAGATGTTGTGGCATCCAAAGGGGTGCATCTGTTGCATAGCACAGAACCCCTGCTTCGTTGGTGTGTGTGTGTGTGTGTGTATGTACAGTTACTCAGTAAAGACAAGGGACAACATATTCATTCTTAATTGCATGCGCCGTCACTGCCCGGTGTAGACGTCTTCTAGCTCGGCTCCGTCATTTTCCGCACGGCTGCGTGTTGGCCAGGCTTCAGGACCTGTATGTCAATCGCCACACTGCCACCGCCTGGCCGGAACATCCATTGCAGGGATTCTTTCGTAGCCGAGAAGCTATTTCGCCTTCCAAGCCTCGACCAGGACGTCTGACTGTCAGCTAACTCCCTCCCACAAGGGAGATTGGCGTGCCCACCCTCTCTAAGGAGTGGTTCCCATTTTATCTACTCGCCGAAGCTTTCGAATCGCTGGGTGGACGATGAGCTGGGGACAAGAGGCTGGCTGCTCACACCAGCGCGGGGCTTGAACTAACACAGTTCAGATGTTAAGACAGTGGGATATACCCACTGTGCCACCCTGGGCAAATCAGGTCATTTCTTGTTTTGATCATGTAGTTCGGGGGTGGCCAAACTTGCTTAACGTCAGAGCCACGTAGAATAAATGTCAGATGTTCGAGAGCCGCAAGACATGACCAAATATCACACACATGTTTTTACTGGAAAATGTACAAATTTGCTTTTTATTAAAATTATAAATGAGACTGCCAAACATAAAAATAAAAGGGGTAAAAACAGATATTGATAATGATATTTAACTTTAGATGGGGAGGGAGGGGAGAAAGAGAGAGGGAAGGAAAGGTGGAAAGAACGAGGGAGGGGAGAGGAGGGAGGAAGAAAGAAAGGAAGAATAGATGGGGAGGGAGGGAGGGAGTGGTGGAAGGGAAGACCAACTGGGGAGGCATGCCTCCCCTTTGCTTCCCCAGCTGACCTGCTGGGAGCCGCACACTATGTGTGAAAGAGCCTCAGTTTGGCCACCCCGATATAGTTGGTTTCGTCCTGATGACAGCTCTCTGCAATGTGCAGGGTCTGTGGGTGGGTGTCTGCGTGCAGTGGTTCACGGTGTTAAGTCGCTCGCTTAACAAAGCAGTCGGAGAGTGATTCAGCAAGAACACAACTTTATTCTTCCACTCGAACACAACTCCAACACGGATCAACATCTGATAGCCAGAACAGCCTTTACATTGCAGCTGTCCTGCTTTTAAACATTCCCGGCTAATGTAGCCACACCCACTGTACAAATACCAACCAACAAGGTTGTTCACATAAGGACCAATCACAGATGTTCCCGCTCAGGGAGCTTGCTAGAAGGTGATTGGTTAGGTGCTTCCTGGGCTAGCAATACTATTGGATGGATTTGGATCCTAGCCCAGGACGAAGCTTTACATCACATTCCAATTAGATGTTTCACAACAAGATGTGCATTCAAGCCAGCTTGAATACACTACACACGGAACATCCTGGGTGTCTCTAGGCAAATATTCAGGCCCCAGTGGGAGCTGGCAAGTGAATTTCGTGCAGGGTGGTTCTGACTGCTGCACTGGTCCTCCGTTGTTACAGGCCCGACCGTCCTGGAGGTCTTCAACACTCTGCTGAAACACCTGAGCCTGAGCGTGGATTTTGAACTGGGCACAAAGTCAGGTTCCAGTGGCAGCATCGACACCCGCTCAAAGGAGTGTGAGGAGAAGATAGTCCAGAATGCCATCATTCAAACCATTGGTGAGTTGAGTATATCTGCCCTCCGCCCCTCGAAGTGGATGCCTTTTAGCCCAGAACAAAGCCCCAGTTTCCGTTTTTATTGCATTTTCACCCCAACTGATCTGCAAAGGGAATTCGAATGATGACAGCAATGGAGACATGTCCCTTGCTGCCATCAGTGTAAAGTAGCTATTATAAGGAAGTCCTTCTTCTCCCAAAGAGTCATTGACACGTGGAATTCACTGCCACAGGAGGTGGTGGCGGCTACAAGCACAGACAACTTCGAGAGGGGATTGGAGAAACAGATGGAGCAGAGGTCCATCAGTGGCTATTAGCCACAAGGTATAGATGGCACACTCTGTCTGCGGGCAGTGATGCTCTGCATTCTTGGTGCTTGGGGGGCAACAGTGGGGAGGGCTCCTAGTGTCCTGGCCCCACTGCTGGACCTCCTGGTGGCACCTGGTATTTTTGGCCACTGTGTGCCACCATAGTGTTGGGCTGGATGGGCCACTGGCCTGATCCAAAATGGTTTATCTTACGTTCTCATGTCTGGGGCAGTGATGCTCTGTCTTCTTGGTGCTGGGGGGGACAACAGGGGGAGGGCTTCTAGAGTTCTGGCCCTGCTGGTGGACCTCCTGATGGCAACTGGGTTTTGGATACTGTGTGACACAGAGCGTTGGACTGAATGGGCCATTGGCCTGATCCAACACTGGCTTCTCTTATCTTCTTATTTCTGGAGATGTTGGGAGGGGAGGCAAGATAGGTGAGACAGAATCCCTTTTGCCCTTGAATTCTCTTTATGATGAGCCAGTGCCGCCTTCTTCCTTTCTTTCACAGGATTCTTTGGGAGCAACCTCCCGGATTACCAGCGGTCTGAGATCATGTTGTTTATAATGGGGAAGGTCCCTGTGTTTGGGATGACGGCTCACACCTCAGAGAACGGCCAACTTGGGTTTGTATTTTTCCCTTATTCGCTGCCAAAAGCATTATTAATTATTAGTGTTTACTTCTATAGCGTCTGTAATGCACGTGGCACTTTACAGAATAACACGGGGGGAAGACAGGTCTGTGCCCTAAGATTACGATCTGCCCCTCAGTAGTTTATTTATTTATATTTATTTATTAGTTCAATGTATAACCCACCTCAATTTATACCCCGCCCTTCCCACCAAGGTGGGCGCAGGGCGGCTTACATAAAATGCATATATAAATACAGTTAAAAACATCCATAAAACGTCCATAAACAATCAGTATCCATTTTTGGAAGTAGCAGAAACAAAGGGCAGAGCAGAGATCCCTAAATCCGACTGTACCACTGCTTAGGTGATAGTCCTGGTGGTATTTTCAAACCGGCTCAATTTGATCGAGTAATTTCTGCAGCAAGATAGACTAAAGGTGGTAAGACCAGGGCCCAGGGTCTCTCCTTGGTGTTTAAGGCGGTGATGGGAGACAGAAGTCAATTGCAAGTTGGGGTTGGAAGGTTTGTCTTAGCTCAGGGTGAGGAATTTAAGCGGCAGGCTTCAGGAACACAGCGGGGCTTTAGGACAGACCTGAGGGAGGCCGTGGGGGAAGGGGACTTTGGGGCACCCGGCGAAGTAGAGTTTGAGAAACAAAGTGAGGGGGGGGGAGAAGGAATGGGTGGGGACAAGGCCATGGACAACTTTAGGCTGTGGAGTTTGGGCTGTGGGTGGAAGTTCTAGAGGAACGAAAGGGCAGAGGGAACTCACGAGCGAAGGGACCGTGGCTGAGTTGGCAGAGCCTCTGCTTGGCATGCAGAAGGCCCCAGATTCAATCCCCAGCAGCATCTCCGGTTGAAAGGACCAGTAAATGATCTGAAAAGACGCTGTGGCGTCTTGTGAGCAAAAATTCTACTTTGTGAGCTACCGGCATTAAAGTTGTGAGCGGGCGATTTGGCTGCTGCATCAATCAGTTTGCTCTGGAGCCCCGTCCTTCCTGAGCCGAGACAAAAAGTTGTGAGCTGGAGGCTAAAAAAACTGTGAGCTAGCTCACACTAGCTCAGTTTAGAGGGAACACTGGAAAAGACCTCTGCGTGAAACTGTAGAGAGCCACTGCCTGTCAGAGTAGACAATACCGGCCTCGAGAGATCAAGGGGTCCAACTCAGTGGTAGACGAGGCCCTGTGTGTTCCAAGCCCATCCCCCGGGGGCCGCTTCCATGCCTTCCTTTCCTATCTCACATCTTGGAAGCCTCTAGAAAAACCAGGACAGTCACACTGAAACGGGGGAGATTTTGTGAAATTTCTTGTCTGTCGCTCACATCTGTTCCGGCTCGTTGCCTTCCAGGGCTCCTTTCTGCCCACTTCCAAATTGCACGTGATATCAGAGGCAGCCCGGAGCTGATGTCAGAGGCAGAATTTTTTTAAAAAAATAATAATATCTTTCGATTTATTAATTGCTCAATCTTGCAGAGCTGCTGGCTCTGTGCGATTTACAGTTACACATATTAACAAGGGACTAACAATGATTCATAGGGGGTAAGGGAGGACAACATATAAATCTTTTTTAAGTCGCACACGTTTGCAGCCGACGGGGATTTTGTTCAGCTGTAGCCTCAGACGTGTTCCAGACGGCATTGACTCGACTTGGCTTGATGACATCAGGTTCTCCAGGACTGCTTCGAGTTGCAGCGTCGCACTGCCACCGCCTGGCTGGATTGGCCCATTGCAGGCTTTTTAATGCCGAAGAGATCTTTCCAGGCTTCCAAGCTGGACATTCCGTTTTGCCGGCTAACACCTCCCCCCCACTGGGGGGGTTTAGTGTGCCCACCCTCTCTAAGGAGTAGTACCCATTTTATCTACTTGCTGAAACTTTCGAACCGCTGGGTGGACGGCGAGCTGGGGACAAGGCTGGTAGATCACACCAGCACAGGCTAGAACTGACAGTAGTTCTGTTCAGTTCAGATGTTACTGTAACCAGAGGATAAATCCTCTGTGCCACCGCTTTTAATAGATTTTTCTTAATTTCCTACAAAGAAGAGACAAACAATATACAAGACAGACTAACACCAAACAAACAAAGAGCATGTACTCGTTTGTAACTAGTTTTGTTTTACATAGATAATATCCTTCTTATATGCACCTAAACAAGTTTAATAGTATATACGCCAGAAAATATTTTGGTAAGTATATGGAATCACAGAATGTTAGCGTTGGAAGGGACCTTGCAGGTCATCTAGTCCAACCCCCTGCACTCTGCAGGGGCATAGCTGAAAGAGATCCCTAAATACCTACAACATACCCGAAAGATGGTCGTCCAGCCTCCGCTTGAAAACGTCCAGCGAAGGAGCATCCACCACCTCCGAGGCAGACTGTTCCACTGCTCAACCACTCTTACAGTTAGGAAGTTTCTCCTGATATGTATAGTTATATTGTGCATCTTTGCAGATACACCTCAGTCCATTTATAAAATCTTGACCATGTTTTTTCAAAGATTTCTTCTTTCTTATGTGAGCCAGTTTGGTGCAGTGGTTAAGTGTGCAGACTCTAATCTGGGAGAACCAGGTTTGATTCCCCACTCCTCCACGTGCACCTGGCTGGATGACCTTGGGCAAGCCACAGTTCTGATAGGAGCTGTTCTTGAAAAAGAGCAGTTTCTGTCAGAGCTCTCTCAGCCCCACCTACCTCGCAGGGTGTCTGTTGTGGGGAGGGGAAGGGAAAGGAGTTTGTAACCTGCTCTGAGACACCTTTGGGTAGTGAAGGGCCATGGGGTATAAATCCAATAACTTCTTCTTCTTTTCTTCTATCTTGTAATTGTAAAGTTAATTTGTCCATCTCTGCCGTTTCTAATAGTTTGTAGGTTATTTCTTCTTTTGATGGGAGTTCTTCTTTCCTCCAATATTCCGCATACAAAATCGTAGCCCCGGGGGTGGGGGTGGGGTTCCTGCCATTCCAAGGGGAGGGGCTGTAGCAGAGCATCTGCTGTGGGTCTCTCTCTCTCTCTCTCTCTCTCTCTCTCTCTCTCTCTCTCTCTCTCTCTCTCTCTGTGCGCCGCAGGGCAGGCTAGTCCACTGTGAGTTGTGAGCTGTTTGGAAGGGAGCGAGGGGCTCCCGGCGGGACTGCTGTCGTTTCCAGCCCGGAGTGCCGGTCAAAAATGTCCGTCACAACATAACACTGGCCTTTGTGAGTGAACTGGGACCTGGAGCCATTTTAAAACTATCCCCCCCCCCCATTTTCCCCCCACAGGGATTTGGGAACCAGGAGGATCCAGATCATGTTGCTGCGCTCTTTGCTGATGGTAAGCCCAGCCTTGGTCTCCGCCGTTGGGATTGAGGTATATGGGGAATGAGGCTCAGGCTCTGGGTAGCTGGAGGTGGTGAAGGAAGGGTTGGGCCACAGCAGTTGGGGTGGAGAATGAGGACAAGGGAGCTCCTTCTAAGACGTGCACTTCAGGGTACCCAGTGAAGCTGATGGACGGTAGATCCAGGACGGGCAAGAGGCAGGGCTTCTTCACCCAGCCTGCAGTGAACCAGGGGATTTTTAAGTGACAGCTTAACCCCTTATCCCCCATGACAAACCCCTTATCCCCCATGAATTAGTCCATTAGCCCCAGGGGTCATTTCCTGCAGGAGCAGAGGCTGGGGAAGGGAAGACCGATCGGTGAGGCTTGCCCTCCCCTTCGCTTCCCTAGCTGCCCTGCCGGGAGCCGCACAATATTTGCGGAAGAGCCGCATGCGGCTCCCGAGCCACAGTTTGGCCACCCCTGGGCTAGCCCCTCGGGAACAGGACACTGGTCTAGACGTCTGGCTCTGACCTGGCAGGGCTGTGCTTATGCTCCAGTGTGACATTGCACCGTCTTCCCCCGGCATGTCGGTTCTAAACATGGTGGGTCATGGGAGCAAGACTCGCAGGTTGTAACTTTGTGGGGCCCCCTCCCCCTCAGTTCTGCACAAGGGTAGGATGTCATGAGCGTTAGACTACTGTAACGCTCTCTACATGGGGCTGCCTTTGTCGCAAATCCGGAAGCTGCAGCTAGTGCAGAATGCTGCGGCCAGGCTGCTGATGGGTCTCCCTAGGCGGGAGCACATCTGACCTGTGCTGAAAGCGCTGCACTGGCTGCAGAATGGTACAGAATGGACTTTTCAAAAAACTTGGAAGAGATTCTACGATTGGTATAATGTAAACGCAACTGATAGATAAATGTAGCAATTTGAGAACGCAGAAAAGATAAGCTTAGTAAAATAGGTAATGAATTTAGAAATCTAATAAGCAGAAGAAATGATAAAGTCTCTTGTTATATGTTATATGTTGTTAGGGGTAGTTGGGTGTTGTTTGTATGTATGTCTGTATGTCTGTAGAATATAATGGGGGAAAAATAATAAAAGTGTACCCTTGGGTACTTACAAAAAAATAAAAAATAAAAAGTAGGTTTGCAGCTTACAGATACACACTTGAACAGGGCTCACCCTCATAACAAATGAGTTTGGCACCCATGCTCTAGCCCTTCTCCGGTTTGTTCAAACGGCTGCTGGTTGGATGTATTGTGCATTAAGGAGGTCTGCACTGTGGTCCTGCTTACTTTGTCTTGGACCCCGATCCACAGGTCACCTCTGGCTACAACGCCAAGAGCATCGCCACTGTCCTTTCGGCCCCCTTCCTCGACCCTCTGTTGTCCACTTCGCTCATGGAAGACTGCGAGCTTCGGCAGCTGGTCCTGGAAGTGCTGCACAATCTTATTGACCGGCACGACAACCGAGCAAAGCTCCGAGGAATAAGGTAGCACGCCCTGGGGTGAAGTGCTTTGCGTTGGACGCACCCAGCATTTAGTTGCCTCCTGGGACTCATCCAGGAGTCTCCTCCTAAGGCTGTAGCAGCCACGTTAGTCTGTAGTAAACAACAAGAAAAACTGTGCACCGGCACTGTACATAAAGTCCAAATATTCTTATAAGCAAATTAATGCACACTGCAATACTGTATGCCAGGGGTCATTTCGTAGAAAAAGAGCTAGGGGAACTCATTAGCATAACTCATTAGCATATGCCACACCCCCTGACATCAGGGGCCCGGCGGTGGACCTGCAAGGCCAGCGGGAGTGCGAGGAAGCCCCGCCAAGACCCTCCCTGGCCCCAGGCAGGCAGGGGTGGGGAGAGGCGGGGAGGAAGCAACTTACCCTCCCTCTTCTCCTGCCTCCTCCTGGCTGAATGAGGGCTGGAAGTGGGGCGGCCGGAAGCAGGGGGCGGGGCTTCGTCATGTGCCCCGCCCCTGCACCTCACCCGGGGGAACTGTGTTCCCCCGCGAACCCCCCCGAAATGACCTCTGCTGTATGCACACAAGGACTGTGCCATACAGATGGATATGCACAGTATCTTCTTCAAAGGATATACAGAAGTGTAAGTCTAGTAATTCCAAGTCACACCATTAGGAACAACTCCTTAGAATTCTTTCATAATACAGATCTTCCTTCTTTCTCTGACGGGAATGCTGGCTTATTCCAAACACATTTCCCAAGAGATTTCTCAAAGAACAGATCTGATTACATTTTGTTCCAGGTGGATGCTCTGTTACAATTTCAACTTGGACATAGTCCTCTGAAGTGGATCGCACTTACGACTGCTATTTGCTTGAGGACACTCAATCTCTGACTTCGATAGCCACCTATGTGTTTTTGGACCTAAATTGGAAGATGTTCTAATTCAGCAACTGTTAGCATTTGGCACCAGACACATGACTTTCACCTTTTGAGGCCTCACAAATATCTTTGTCATGTGTCTCTAGATCTTGCTGCTTAACCTTCCTCTTCCTGGTCCAGTATTCACTTATTGGTTATCTTATTGAAATATGTAGTTAAGTTACGTGTACCTCAATATCGTTCGACCTCTGAAGAAGGCCCCAATAGGGTGGAAACACATCAGGTCATGTGGCCCGGCCCTTGGTTTTAGGCTATACTTTTTAACGAGGCTTTCATTGGGCCCTTATGTATGTTTTTAACTGTCTTTCTAATACATGTAGTTTTGTATATTATAATTTTTAACTAGGTTTTTAATATTGGCCCTTCACTAGACTTTCTTCTCACCCTTTTGGTTCTTGATTCCAGTTTTTGGGTCAGGTTTGTTCCCCCCCCCCCCCCCCCCCCTTTTTTTTCTATAGGGCTCTGGCAAATACTATCCAGGTCTGGGCCTCTGCTTCTGAGTTAAACATAAAACTAATTAAAGGCGCTAAGAATCATAAAGTGAAACCAGAGTATGGCATAAAAACAGTGGGGTTAAAAAGCATTTAACTGTCTAGGATATAAGAAACATAATTTGGGCCAGCATAGGAATATTCGGCGAACCGAGGGGGGGGGGCGAACGCATTGGCACAAGTCCCGGGAAATGGGACAGGAACCTTGGTGCCCAAAGATCAACTGCTTTGGCATCAGGCAGCTCTTGGTGGGGAAGGAGTCCCACCGCTGAGGCGTCATGCAGTGGAGAACCCATGAATTATGCATGTGTCCCTTTTCTAGGATAATACCAGACGTGTCGGATCTGAAGATAAAGCGAGATAAAATTTCAAGGCAAGACGTGAGCTTCATGAAGAAGGTAATTACAAGAAGAGGCTCTTGTTTGTCCATCCGTGAAGGAAGATATCCTGGGCAGGGTTACTCCTCCCACTCCGTCCACCACAGGCGGGGCCATGGAACCTAAGATGGAGTTGTCATTGTCTCCAGCTGGACCGGGGCTGTGGCTCAGTGGCAGAGCCTCTGCTTGGCATGCAGAAGGTCCCAGGTCCAGTCCCCGGCATCTCCAGTTAAAAGGACCAGGCAGGAGGTGGTGTGAAAGACCTCAGCCAGAGACCCTGGAGAGCTGCTGCCGGTCTGAGTAGGCAATACTGACCGTGATGTACTGAGGGTCTGATTCTGTACAGAGCAGCTTTGTGTGTGTGTGCGTGTGTTCCTGTTTGAGAAGGCACCTCTCAGTTCTTGTCTTACCCACAGTGACAGGGCATGTTAAGAGCTCCTCCTCTTTACCATCATGGCTCGTCCCAGGTTATTTCCTTCCCCAGCGCCCAATGTTAAGGCACGCAGGGAACCTGCCAGGCTTCATTTGGCTTGCTTGTGCACCTTTGAAAGATTTCCCCCAAAGTGCACGGTACTTCTCCATTAACTGGCATACGAACCTCTGCAGCATGGGAAGAGCAATATGAAGCTTCCTTGAGCTGACTGTTGGTCCATCAAGCCATGTGCTGTTTTTCTTTGGACAGCCAATTTTGTGTAGCGGTTAAGAGCGCGGACTCTAAATTGGGAGAACCGGGTTTGATTCCCCACTCTTCCTCCACATGCAGATACTGGTGTGACCTTGGGTCAGTCACAAGTTCTCTCAGAGCTGTTCTCTCAAGGGCAGTCCTCAAAAGAGCTCTCAGCCCCACCTACCTCACAGGGTGTCTGTTGTCGGGAGGGGAAGGGAGTTTGTAAGCCGCTCTGAGACTCCGGGTAGTGAAGGGCGGGGTATAAATCCAATCTCCTCCTCCTCCTCCTCCTCCTCGTGTTGTAGCTGTTTGCTTAATAAATAATAGATTGAAGGAGAGTGGTGTCCAGAGATTTGCAGAAGGTGGAGGGGATTGTATTTTGATTAAGTTTGATGTGGTGGTTAAGTGCGCGGACTCTAATCTGGGAGAGCCAGGTTTGATTCCCCACTCTTCCTCCACATGCAGATGCTGGTGTGATCGTGGGTCAGCCACAAGTTCTCTCAGAGCTGTTCTCTCAAGGACAGTCCTCGAAAAAGCTCTCTCAGCCCCACCTACCTCGCAGGGTGTCTGTGGTGGGGAGGGGAAGGGGAAGGAGATTGTAAGCCCCTCTGAGACACCTTTGGGTAGTGAAGGGCAGGGGGTATAAATCCAATCTCCTCCTCCTCCTCCTCCTCTTCTTCCTCTTC